CTTGAAGAGGGGGTCAGGTGTCCCCCATCTGGAACTCTACATTATGAGACTTTGTTACAGCTTATGTTATTTTTGAGACGGGAGCAAAAATTGAAAGAATTGAGTTTGCTGACATGTTTTTCTTCCTCCAGAGTCACCTTGTGTAGCAGAGGGATTGTGGAATTAGGGTCCTCTCTGACCCCTTGGTACTGGCCCTGGAAAAAGATAATGAGGCTAGCAGGGGGAAGCTGAAACAGCATTGTAGTGCATGCTCCATAAATCAACGCTGCACACACCCAGACAAGTACACCCAGCTGAGTCACTGGAACAAGAGTTGGGGGATCAGTTTGGACCACTCCCTAGAAGGTAAGGGGGGCTGGTGGGGGAAGCAAATTTGGGATGGTTATTAACCTCAACTCCAGTTTCAGCTCTTATTCCACCTCCTAAGACAAGCTGACTCAATTCAAGCCCATGGATCCAATTCAAGAGAAGAATTGTGTATGTGTGAAGGACTAATAAACTCAGTTTAATACAGAGTGAAGATGGAAGGTGCTGGGGTGTCACCCTGATTCTTAAGACTTCCTAAAGCCTTCTGAGTTTACATTCCTTTAGAGAACTTTCCCACACAATTTCTGTAAACAACGTATTGTTTACGTTCTTTTATGGGGGTGGAGAACACTTGATGTACTGGTGGTTTGTCCAATGTCTTTGGAGAGGTGGCCCATTCACTCTCCAATCCAATATCACCCTTGGGAAGGTATAAAAGACAGAGTCAGATAATAAACGTCCCTTTTTTACCTTGCAAACAGCAGGTGGTCCGCGTAGTGCTTTCACGTGTCCCACAGCGACACTGGGGTTATGAATATGTATTATTTTGGGAAATAAATAAAAAGAACCTTGTCTGGTGAGGTCATGCCTTTCAGAGACAACCCCTGTGCCACCCATGGGTGACATGTTTAATAAACATACCACTTTCTAACTTTGGCTAGTTAGAGAGTCTTTGTCCACAATTGAGTTTTAACAACT